TTTTTTTTAAGAACTTGTAAAATCTGAGTCAGATGATGAGTGTGTTCCTCTTTACTTTTTGAATAGAGCATGATATCATCGATAAATACAATGACGAACTGATACAGAAATTATTTGAAAACCTTGTTCGTCAAATCCATGAAGATGGTTGGTGCGTTGATTAGTCCAAATGGCATGATTAGGAACTTATAGTGTCCGTACCTAGTTTGAAAAGCTGTTTTGGGAATGTCTTCTGGCTTGATCTTTACTTGATAGTAAACTAATGCACATCTATTTTGGAGGAGGTCTGGGCACCCTGCAACTGATCAAAAAAGTAATCAATTATGGAGATGGGGTACTTGTTCTTGATCGTGACCCTATTCAGTCTTCTATAGTCAATACATAACTTTAATGTCTCATCCCCCTTCCTTATAAATGTGACTCTAACATCCTAAAGAGACACACTATGTCGAATGAATCCACTATCCTACAATTCATTGATCTGGTTTCTCAGCTCCTCCATCTCCACACGACTCATGCAGTAAGGGACAACTGAAATAGGCTGGGTGTTTAGCTGAAGATGTATGGAGAATTCAATTTCTCTGTCCACTAATAGTTTGAGTAGTTCATCGGGGAACACATCCCAAAAGTCTCAGATTACCAAAATCTCTCGAATACAAATTTTTTTCTTAGGTTTGCTTTGTATCACGTCTAGGTTGGCTTCTGCATCTTGCTGAGTGAGGTTGTAAGCTCTGTCCTAGATATGAGGTCAGACCTGGTTCTGATTTCTCGAACACTCTCTCGCGTAATGGTGAGCACTCCCACATATATGACAAGTATTGTTGAGGCGATAGCAGAATTGGTCCCTATGATCCTTACTGCAATGCTGACAAGTCCTATGGCGTCTTGTTGTTGAAATCCGAGGATGAGTCTGAGTCACTAGCCTAGGTCTCTTATTATGCTGAACAAGTGTAGTGGGTGTTAGTCTACAGTGTGAAACCGAAGGCTTGAGGTTCCCTACTACTTGAGAAAAAATACGAAGGTTCCTCTCCACTAGTTGTGCCTTGCCAGAAAGATCGAGTAAGTATTGAGCTCGAACATATACAGCTGTTGTCTAATATCAGTACAAAGGCCCCACTCGAACTTTCTTACCTTTATACCTTCATCCATCATGCTCTCAGGGGAATACCGACCCAACACTAGGAACTTTTGGGCATATTCTGATACAGTCATATCACCCTATATCAGGTGTGCAAACTCCATTTTCTTCAGATGTCGAAGATGCTCTAGAGGTACTCTGCATTGAAGGCCATCAAGAATTGTTCCTAAGTGACTGGAACGGGCAGAGTGGCCTTCTTGAGTTGCTACCAATGGCCTGCCCCTCCCACCTGCATGTAGTGACAAGTATAACTCTTTGTTCGAGAATCACCCCAAGAGTCATGAACGCCTTATATGTCGTAGCTAACCAGTACTTGGCTTCTTCAAAAGGAGGATGCCCTTACAAAACTAGATGAGTTTAGTCTTTTATACTTCTTAATGTAGTTTGGATCCATTATGGAAGGAACTAGGTCCCATGGAAGAGGGACTGGATTGTGCTGGGGATGAAATGGATGGCCCTGTGGTGGTAGTAGATGATACAGTGGGGGGCACCATATTGTACTGTGGTGGTGCCGAATGGTACTGTGGAGGAGTAAGGTCGTACCGGAGTGGCTCAGGATCCTCCCGCCGCAAGGGTGGCTCAACATGTGGTAGCGGGTGAGGGTCAGGTAGCTCCCTCCTTTCCTCTCGGGCCTGCTGGACAGTGATGAGTCTCTCCAGTATTTCAAATAGTCAATCAACATCCTTTCGAGTGAACCCTCCCGGACTGCTCGGTTTAGTGGGGGTCTTCCTCTCATAATCTATCTGTACTTACATTTCACAAGGAATAGTTGAGTGATAATTCATTTTGTTGGTGTTTCCTAAGGTTTTTATGTAAGGAATGGTTCTGAGGAACCTAGCTCTGATACCAACTGTAACGGTGTGGAACTTAAAAGAAAAGAAAATTACAAATTGAATGCGGAAGCGGTATAATAGAGTTAGGGTTTATATTCCTTACATAATAATTTAGAATACCCAATAGGACCATGTGAATGACCCTTCTAAAAGAACAAGCAAAAAATCAAAAAATAAATGAAAAGTAAACAATTAGGTATCCTAGGACAACTTTCACTAGCCTTTAAAGGGAGTCCGAATGGTGAACTATTCACAACCCCTTTGTTAATCGGGATCTGGATCTTGGTCATCTTCATCTAAAATGATTAATGAAATGGTGAACTACATTAGTCTAGTAAGAATATCACACTACTCATCAATATATAAATAAAGGTTGGTAAAAATCATAAAAATAACTAATGGAACTCTTAAATTAAGTAAATTTATTTATAAAAAATAAAATTATTTATTGCATACTTACCGTAACAAGATTTTCAAAATCGACCTATAGAGGCAATAACATAAACAACATCATAATTTCATATTTAATTAGCCAGAACAATAACTTTTTCTTTTTATTTATTTATTGGTATCCTTAGGGGTCCATAGAGATGTCCCACTGCGCATGAACCCATAACAAAATTTGTCAACTAACCGGTCGTTCCCATAACCCGTCCGATATGAGTGCTAAAAGTACAGTCCCTCAATATCCCATTCGGTATGAGGGTGAATCAGGCCGTCCCTATACCCTGCCTGGTATGAGTGCCAAATGTACCATCCCTCAATACCCCGTCTGGTATGATGGTGAATCGAGCCGTCCCCATACTCTGTCCGGTATGAGCGCCAAAAATATCGTTCATTGATACCCCATCCGGTATGAGGTAAGGTTCCCTATGTACCCAGTCTATCCACCATCTCCTAGGATATCCAGTAAGACAATTGTTTCATTAATTCACTTAACCAAGTAATTTTCCGTTTACATTTAATTTTTAATTTCACAATTTAACTGTAAATCATGCAAGACAAGCAATACATGTATCAAGGGAACACAACTGAATCATTTTACTAATTCTAGTGTATTATCATGCATTTAAAACTGTAAAATTAAATAATCAGTTAAAACGTGACAAACGATAATAAATAACCGGTTCCGACTCCATTAGTAACCTGTAATTAATTATCGAAGTTTTCTAAATTATGCAAAATACCATATTATTTATAAGTAAACTTCAATTATATAATATAAAATAAGGTGATGGATTCTTACCCGAATAGGTGTTCGAGATACTGAACTTTCTACTGCGCCTACTAGCGGTCCTCAAGTTTTCTGAATTTTCTTGCAGAGGTAGAAACATGCTTCACGTACATAAAAATATCACCAAAAAATCTAAAATCGGTGTTAAAAATTTTTTTCGGCTAATTTCAGAATTTCAGCACGGCAGCACCACCATGCCCCGTCAACGGCGACGGTGGCGGCTAGCCTCGGACTGGCCGTTTTTGACTAGTTTTGGCTGATTTCGATCGGTTTTATTCCCATCAATGCGAGAAAACACGTTAAGGAGTCTTGGTTGGCCGAAAAAGTCGAAAAACAAAAACTTACCAGCGACATCATTTTTCGGTGCGGCAACTCCATTGGTTCACTTTCGCTGCTGGGCGTTTTTATTCGGTCAACTTGTAAAAAACAGAATGGTGAACACGATGGTGAAACAATCGCACGAAACGTGAAACGGGAAGGGGCTCATCAGAGGTGATTCTTGATTTTTTTCGCAGCGCCGCCGCTGGACTTTACCAGCAGTTTCTGGGTCATTCACCTTTTCTTTTGCTCCGATTTGGTTATGGGGGTGTTCAAAATCAAATTCTGAGCGAATAAGAGAATTTTTACTTTTTTTGGGCGGCAAGCGACTGTCGGCTCTCTTATCCGGCAACTGGTTCTTTTTCTCCAGCGGGGGCTGGCGGCTAAAGTTTGGGTTCGGTGTGAAATGAGATATTTATACCTGTCTTCCTTAAATCTGGACCGTTCATCGCGTTTGATCTCGACCGTCTGATCGCGTTTAAAGAATAAATGAATATGGATTGTTCATTGCGATTTGATCTGTATCGTATGATCGCATTTAAAAAGAGAACGAATTTAAACCGTTCATTGCGTCTAATCGCGACCGTCCGATCATGCTTGAGGAGGGAACGGATCCGGACCATCCACGCGCGCGAGAACGCATCCGGACTATCCGATCGTGGGCACGTAGATTGCTAATGTAGTCTCCCGCGTGGCACCGAGTCAGCGTGCCTTGCCACACGACGGGCTCCAGTTTGTCGGGACTGCTGACTGGGCATCGTACGTGACACAATTTTTTTTTAATTACATTTTAATTCATAGTTTCTGACTTTTTTTTTCAAAAATACCCCCGAATCCAAATTGTCACATTTTTTTTCCAAAATTATTTTCAATTTTATCATCTACTTATTTTTTTTTCCTAATTTTACATTAAATAAAAATTTATAAATTTAAAAATTATATTTATATATATATTTATTTAATTTTAAAATTAATCTCGGACCAAATTTCGGATTCAGATATTACAGATTATTCTGTTGATTCAATTTTTACTAAATTGATTTAAATCGATTGAGTTAGATGATATTTAATTTTAAAAAATTAATTAAACTGACTAAACGCATACTTTACTTGTAAAAATAAACTATTCAATTTAAAAAATAAATTCTAAAATTAAAAATATGACATCGGATTAAAGATTTTATAATAAAATATGTTAGTCGCACACACGTGAACGTATGTTCGACGAAACTTGACTTATATCAACCGTTTGAACTGAACATATTGAAATTATTCTGTCGATTTAATTTTACTATATTGATTCAAATCTATTAAGTTAAAATTTTTTTTACTAACGGATCAAATACATACTTTACTTATAAAAATGAATTATTCAATTAAAAATATAGATTCTAAGATTAAAAATATAATATCCTATTAAAGATTCTACAACTATATATATATATATATGTATAGTCAAACACACTTGAACCGGAGTCAAAACATACTTAATTAAAAATTCACTACTTCACTTTCCCCTCAAACGTTTCACACACTCTTGTGTTGCAGGATGCCGAACTACCACCACCACCGAACTCCCTTCCTCTCTTCTTCTTCTTCTTCTTCAACGCAATCCTTCATTTCGCGTCTAATTCTTCTACTCACTCTCCTTCCTCTATCCCTCGCAGCTCTAGCCTTCGTTCTCCAATGGAGAGGGGGTGGCCTCCCGGACCCCGTCATCTCCTCCATCACCTCCTCTTCCTGGGCTCCGCACGACTCCAATCATCACAACAACGAGGTTTTCCCGGGGATGGAAACTTTCGCTTCTCTCTCCCCCAAATATCATTCTTCCTCTTCGTCTGATTGCTCTACTCTTGCCCGTACTGCTTCCCCTTCCTTACCTTACTACGGGGACTGGAAGTTTGGTTTGGAGGCTAATTTAAGGCCCAAGGTACGATTTTCTCATCCAATTCTTGGTTTCCTTGTTGATCTGGTGTCTTTTTATTGCCTTTTAGTGCTTGGCTTTTGTTGGGTGTTGCGTCTTTCTGTCGTTTCTGTTCGCATTTTCAATCTATTTTGTTCTGGGATCTGCTTTTGGTGACTTTGTTTTTTGTTGGGTGCTGCTTATTGTTTCCTTAGGTCGATATTTGGATTTTGGGTTGATCTGATTCTGGATCCTGCTTTACTTTATTAATCCCTGTGGGTGAATTTGCTTTCTGGTTTGGTTGCTTTTGGCTTTGTGCACTGGTTCTGTTTGAATATAGATTTTAATCACGATCTCGAGGAGAGAGTTGGTGACTACAGTTGTGTGAATTGCTTCATAATTTGCATGTTCTTAGTTGATTTGGATGATTGCTTTTTTATTTTCTTTCGTGTGCAATATTTCTGTATTTTATTAGTTGCATATTGATTTCTGAATCTTGTTATTGTCTCTAGACTTAAGTGTTGCATATAACATAAGGGGGTGATTAAAATTAAAATCTTTTGGTTTCAAAACTTGATTCCCCTGAAGAACTTAATGATCTAAGTTTTTAACTTCCCATTTTCCTGCCAAGGAGGTGTCATTTCCCATTTGTTAGACTGATGTACTGGGCCCAACATTGTGAAGATGCTAAGCAGTTATTTCTAGACATTCAGGCAATCCACATTACAGTTCTTGTAGCTCCGAAGTTTAAAATATATTTGAGATACAAATTATGGCCTTCTTTTGCCATGGATCTTTATTTGCAGATCTGTGTAACAACAAGTACATCAGCTGGTTTGGATCAGATTCTACCATGGATGTTTTACCACAAGGTTATTGGGGTAACAACATTTTTCCTTTTCGTGGAAGGGCAGGCTGCATCTCCTAATGTTTCTAAAGTGTTGGAATCAATTCCTGTGAGTTAATTTATTGTTTGGCATTCTTTACTTTGATGTTGTTGTGTTTTCCTTTGAACACATACTTTGGAGTTTTCCCACTGATTTATTTTGCTAGTATTCGAAACTTATAACTTATTCTTTACTTTTCAAGGGAGTAAAAGTGATATACAGGACAAAAGAGCTGGAGGAGCAACAGGCTAAAAGGTTGGTTTGTTTTGCTACTTTGGTGACTGAGATCCATTTTTTCGTTTTGAAGCTAACCCAAAAGGAACTTCTTCTGAATCTTTCTTCTCTAACGTATTGTTCTACCGAAAGCTTGGGTGGCTTCATAATACTGAATCCAATGTGGGACCATCTAAGTTATTAGGGAACAAATATTTTTGTGAGAACAGAAATGCCTTCCTAGAGTATTGCTAGTATAATGCTTACTAATATAGGATATTATGTGTTATTGTTTTCTATTCCTTTTTCTCAATAGTTTTATTTGGTTGTACTTCCCTATTTAAAAGTTTTAGACCTATTAGGTTATGTAATCACTGTACAGCTACATGTGAATGGACTGCTTATGGATAAACCTACTAATTTTCTCATTGAATTGTATGCAGAACAACCCTATGATTATAGTTGTGACAACCTGTAGTATGGTTGTTGCCAATTCTTGTAACCGCGGGTTGGATTTATCTTTTATTTTCTTCAGTTTCCTTGCTCTAAATACTAGTTAGTTATGCGACATCAATTTGGTGTTAGAACTAAACTTTCTTATTTTCGTGTCATACTTTCACACCACAAATCCCACATTCTCTGAACATATAACAACCCTAAATCAATCATAAAGCACCTGAAAAATCGTAAAAGAGAGAA